ATACATATACATATACATATACATATACATATACATATACATATACATATACATATACATATACATATACATATACATATACATATACATATACATATACATATACATATACATATACATATACATATACATATACATATACATATACATATACATATACATATACATATACATATACATATACATATACATATACATATACATATACATATACATATACATATACATATACATATACATATACATATACATATACATATACATATACATATACATATACATATACATATACATATACATATACATATACATATACATTTTTGCTCTAGCTTTTGATTAGAGAAAAACATAACACTATAAATCTAGCGCCCGTTATATTTTTCTATCAACCGGCCATTTATCTACTGTATAGATATTCTTAAAAGCCTTCAAACTGACATGCAAAAGAAAAAAAGATTTAGTTATTTAAGTTTTAGAAAGTATGTAAAATTTTACTGGCTGGTAGGCCTATTGTAAAAACTATCGTATTTAGTTAAATCACAAAGGCTTCAATTTTCCCTTATTACTTACAGATGACATGTTTTTATCCGTGCAATTTTCAATTTGTTTCCCATTCTTCGACTTACTATGTAGAAAGATTTTCATTAAAAGTTAATCATACTCATACATTAAAATTATGATTTCCATAGTAATTAAAATAGCATTTAAATAATCTAATTAAATAAAACGTAAAAGCTTACTTCTTCTTACCACTACCGCTATCATTATTCCTAACCTTAATATCCCTTAATATTTAGGATTATCTTTAATAGCAGAAGGTCCATTAAGAGTTTGTAATAAATATGTCTAAAAGTCTTACTCCAAAGTCGGACAGTGAGTATTTAATAAGAGAGTAATTACTTGGGAATGTAATGTGTGTGAAAAATTTTAGAGGGTAAATGCAGAGTTTCTTCCAGGCATCTCTTCGGGGGGGCGAAGCCCCCCCGAAAAATTTTTACCGCCCCCCCCCCCGAACGAAATGAAATTTATATAATTTATATAGAAAATATATACTTTTAACAGTGTCCGCCCCCCCGAAGAAAGTTTACCGCCCCCCCGAAGATTTCAAGTGCCCCCCCGGAGAAAAAAGTCTGGAAGAAACACTGGGTAAATGTCGAGAGGGAGGTGGGGGGATTAATATCCTGCTTACTATATATATCATATACTATTTAAAATTATAATTTTATTCTAATTTGTTTCGAAAATCAAATCAGGTTTGCAATTTACCTGATGACCATTGTCGAAAAAGAAAACGTAACTACCACTGGAGCTTTCCAATTCTATGCCCCGTTAACTGATCCAAAAAATGTAGTAATCAAATGCATGGAAAATAGCATCTGGGGGTCAGAACGTACATACCCTAATCACTCATTTCAGGCCAACGTTATATTTCAACTGGAGATCACATTGCTACCAATGTCAATTAAGGTCAATACAATTAATAGTATCATTATTAATGAAAGTTAAGTGTAATTAAACTGTATATCTCTAATTTTATATCACATTGCACATGTTCAACCATTGGTACATATCTTTGTATTCAGATCAACCACAAAAATGTGCGCGAATACAATTACGAGTATGCCATTAAAGAATCAGATATTCAATATTTTGGATTTTTCGGAAACGTTCACATCAGCGACATCCTTACCACATAGACATCAGGACGTCATTTACAAAGGGAAGTTTTTTTTAATCTATTTGTTGCTCTGCTAATTATAAGGACTTGTACTGTGACATAGCTAAGATATTTCGAGCCCTTATGCAAAATGTATTAGTTAAACGAAGAGATGAACTGCTACTTTCGATGGATTAGTTTTAAATAATAGAAATATTCTGTACATGGATTTATACGTTATGTTTATGTATTTATACTATAATAATATGTAGGCCTACTACTACCCCGTAGTTTTTGAAAAATACTACAGGCTTACAGTTAATTTATTTTTGTAAGTAACCAAACAAAGTAGCGTCACAAGGCGGTGAACAGGAGTGCTGTACACATCAGATGACAACAATTATGTTTGACATTTTAACAGAACATTGTACAGATTACTGTCAAAACTATGTTGTATTAGTGAGAGAGTGCTCACACCCGACCGAAAATGCAATTTTTTTTTAGAACGATGGGGCAACACCTTTAGTAAACACAAAGGGGAACATTCGACCTTGTGACGCCACTAACCAAACACATTTTTTTAATTGTTCATGATTTATTTAGATCTGGGTTTTTTATTCATGCTTTTAATTTTACAAAATGATCAATAAGTTCATTGAGATCTATTTTAGCTGCTTCTGTAAGTTTGATACTTAAGATGGCCAAGCCACTGATACAATGGATATATATCTACAATTTATTTTATAACAAATTAACATCATCATAATGAGATTTTAAAATTCTATCATAGACATTAAAATATCTTTCTCTATCACTGGGGAATGTTAAAGAATGTTTAAACTAACTGGCGTACCCGTCCGCGTTGCTTCGATCTAGTCCTACATACCAGGGTAGAAAAACTATTTGTGTTTGTTCACACTAACGGTCAGACGCGTGCTGTACGAAAGCATTGAGTGAACGTTAATCATCCTCTGTAATAGTGAGGTTGAATACCTTTCGGCGACCGCCTCGATGTCAGGGGTTACACGACCGCCGGGGCGCCAGCTAATGCGCATGTGCCGTTTAACCACTGGATCAAGAAGTAACGCTGACCCGCGGGGCCAAACACCCAATCAACTGAACCCCATGTGCAAAGGTAGCGGCTGGGGAACTCCGGGTGGCCTCACTGCCGGGATCACACACCGAAATAAATTTCAAATTAAATGGCAGAAACCTACAAAAATTCTGAGTTTCTTTCATGCACCTTTTAAGAAAAATGTCTAGAATAAAAACAACGATTTCAGAAGTTTTTTGGCGATTGGATGAAAACCAAAAACGTATGGTGTTAGTAGTGCAATATAAATTAAAGATAAATAAAATGTCATTAAGGTAAACATTAGTAGAAAAACAATGATAAATGTTGGACTTCGCTTGTTGTGAAAACACTGTCCATTGTTGTCATTTAAAAAAAAAAAAACGGTTCAGTTGTTATCATTGATGTTTAATAGGACGGAATTTTGGGGAGAGCAGCCGTTTAGTAGAGAGGTCTGTCGGGGATGGGGGGGGGGGGATAGGGAATTTCCCAGTCAGTTGAAGTTTTTAGCGATGCATTTAAAATTACCAGTCAAAGTTCAAATTTAAATTTAGGCTTATTCTCTCAATGTCTTGCACGACAAGCAGCAACGCCTGAAATGTTTTTGTTACGGATTACTGTTAGACCCCCCCCCCCCTACATAAACACACTAAATCACACTTCCTGTACAGTTAGAAACGACTGGGTTTTTCGTTGTTTTTTTTTTAACTTTTCACCGTTTTTTTTTTAAAGTACTTATGTAAAACAAATATGAGAATTCCAATGAAAAGGTTTTAATTCTTTAAGAGGGGAAAGGGCCCTTTATGTAACTTGGGCAACTATGCCTTGCTTACGCTAGTTTTACGGTAGCTACGCCACTGGACGTGTACCTTTTAACTATATATAAACAAAAGCAATTTAGAGGGATTTTTTACTTTAATCTCAAAACATTTAAAATGTAGCATTTTCTTTTGTTTTTGCAACGATATATTATCACGCTTGGTATTTGGAAATTAAAATGTTCAATTTTATTTTATTTTCAAGTATTTTCTATGTTGTTGAAGAACGTTAAATCTAAGATGTTACGTTAACTGTTTTCTCCTGCGGTTTAAATGTAATTAAAAATTAACAATCAGAACTACTCATTTGCTAGTTGTGATTGGACTTTAAATGAACATTAAATGACTTCAATCATTGTAAAGTAGTTTACAATAATTTCCATTTTTACAACACATATTAAAAGCGTCTTACGCTTATAATATTCGACTGTATTGTTCAGCAGTTCAGTCTTTTTAATTTCCTTCCAGAAAATAACTGGGTATTCCTTAATTATTTCTACACCCTGTACATAATCATTACTGAGACTGTAAAATAACAGATATGATAGTCTATATGTTAAAACAACCAATATTAATTCCAGAGAAAAGCTTCGTTTATTAATTAAAATTGATGTTTCATACCACGGAGACTTGTAGTAATAGAAAATACTGCAAAATTTAAAATTCGCTCCAAATGCACTTTGTAAAGAGAAAGGTGTTATCAGGCAGGAGAGCGTGATGGCTCACACCAGAAGCCAAGGAGAGAAAACTCCAAAATCAAGCGAATGCTGCCATGCATACTGTCCTTTAATGACACAAAGGCTCTAGATTGACAATTGGACATCCAGAAATAAAGATGTAGGCTGACATTGGAGTCAGTGGGCCATATTGTGAATAACACATTGACACGTGATACTTAATACCGTTGGAGGAAAATTCAACCACTATTACTATTGCGAACGAAGAACAAGAAAAAAATAAACCGGGAGTGATCTTCCCAAAAATTTCTTCGAATATTCTTACACAACACTAAAGGGGATGGAGACTCGGGATAGAGACAATATTTTAAATTCATTTTTAATTATTTAATTTTTTAGAATAGAATAGAATATCGTAGAAAAAAAGAATTGCACATTAAGTGAACGCCAAACAAAATGTGAATAATAGTGCGGGATATTATTAGTACTTTATGAATTCAAATGAGTTTATTGAGAAATAGGAAATAGCGTAAATTACTACTTCAGGTCATCGGAAATAACTCAAAATATCTGTTACTTATATGTGAAATTTCATTTATCTATCTGAAATAGTACTAAAGTTATACGCTTTTGAAAGAATGTTTGAAAAATTGAAAGTAGAAAAAGTTCCACTTCCGGTTATCGAAAATCTTTGAAAAGTTAATACTGATCTACAAAATTGATATAATAATTATATATAAAATGTCATCAACTTAGCTGTAACGGTACTCAAGTTATCGTGTTTACAGATACAGACATACACACACGTACACACATACACACACAGACATACGAACAAGATTACAAAATTATGCTTTTCCGACTCAGAGAGGTGTGAAACGCCGATATTTGCAAAAAATCTCGATTTTTTTTTGCACGATTACAATACTTTCTCTATGTTCTGTATAGACGAGGAAAAAAAAAACAAGCATTTAACCGGCTAATGAACCAATACCGTAAACAAATACGTACAACATCTTAACTTAAAACATAAATCAATTAAAACTGAGCAATGCATAATTTTACTAGTTACACAACATTCAGTCAGATATTGCAATCTAAAATTAGAGATATAGACAGTTGAAAAAGTCATAAAAGAAATTAAATGAGTACATACATATAAAACGTAATAATATTTTAACACTGTATCAAACATAATGAAAAAATAAACACTCTATCCAACATTGCAATCTCAATGAATAGACAATCTATTAAATAACCCAAATGCTTGAGACTATCGCTATTACAATTAACTCACTTTGAGTTCACATGTTATCAAAAACACTTTACACACATCAAATTGTTATTTGGTAAAAATACCTAATAATAACCATATACTCATGATCTAGAAACAGAAACCTCATAAATTTTACACATAGCCAAGATAAATTGTGGACCAATACATCAAAGGCCGAAGAGCGGGCATACAAGAGCCTTTTCTCCTTTGGTTGCTGTCAGTGGAAGGATCATTCAAAGAAAGACTGAAGCAATATTTTACGACGATTTTCATCAGTACTTCTCGAATCGTTTATTTTTAAACACTACCACTAAGACGTCGCCGGGCGTGATGTGTAGGATAGCCTTGAGTGTACGTTCATCACCTTCGGTAATAGTGAGGTAGAATATACCTTGGCGACCCCAGGGAAAGTCACAGAAAGCTCTCCTATTACGTAACTTTACCACTGGTAAAGATAACACAATATCAGGATTCGTTTTGGATGGCCTTAGACTGATGACTTACGAAACTAAAAAGACTAACAGAAAACAACAAATCTTCGTGGACTCGAATCTAATGTTTAGGGTAAAAACACACACGAAGACCTGTGCAACTAATAAATTTTTAATCAATCCAAAACCTTCTAATAAGTAATCAAGTCTAAATAATAAATAGCTATGTGAAAACAATAGAAATATACAATAACGAAAGGCCCAACTTATGATTTTAGGTATAACACACTGAAACTACTAACACTGGATAAGGTTCCTGAGTAATCAATACAACCTACACGTTATTAAAAATTTGACACAGAAAAATACCGAATACATTGGAACTAAGGGATAATTACTGCTTAGTCTAGAAAATATACGTGGCTCTCTCTCCTGGGTGTCTAGTGGGCTGCCTCGTGTGTGGAATATTCCTGCTTTTTATACCACTGAAATTATGGGATGTTGACCTCAATGTTAAGGACCATTGGGGGGAAGGAGCCAAAGCACGAGCCACACGAACTCAGTGGTGAATACTATCACTGGAGTGTGTTGGAAAATTTCTTTAGTTTGATCAACAGATGGCTCAAGGTCATTTAAAATATTAATACAATTTTTTAATTAATAAAAAGAAGACCTAAGTAGGTCACACTCCTATTATAAGACGCTCTTGAGAATAAATTTAGATTAGTTTAGACATTAAATATAGTAGACCGCCGTATTGATAGTATAGCACGCCCTATAACGAAAGTATGCACCATAGTGCTCATGGTGTAGCCAGTGACACAAAATGACACACTGCCGGTTTGCCCGAATACGTGCCTTATTCGATTTATTAAACGACTAGGGTAGCCCTTATGAAACATGGTGTATTGCACGCTTTAAAGCGAACGCGAGAGCTATAGTGTTCACAAAGGGAACCCGGGGCGCGAAATCTCACACTGTCATGGCACTAGAGGACGAGCCTGATTACATATAGTAATGGATCAATAACATTTCTATTGTCTATTGAACGTAGTCACCATATCTATCACTGTAAAGTCCGGGTCGCTAAACCTTACCCTGCTTAGGCGCTGCTCATATCGGGTTTGAAATTTTTTTTTCGCGGCAAACTCCCCTAGAGTTTCATGGTGATCTGATGAAAGTTGAAGTGATACATAAAGTACAAACAAACCCAAAAACATACCCACAAACATACTTTTATTTATATATTTACTAGCGAGTTCATCCCCACGATATCAGAAGAAAAAATGATCAAATATTTTAAGAGAGTTTCATCATTGTGTTACCAATCCTATGTAATTAGAAGCGTGACCTTGTTTTCTAAATCTAAGTTATCTAAATGTAAACAATGCTATATTTCTTGAATCATATTTCTTGGAGCACGGGTTTGCCAACGCTACACACAGCATGCCTCAGGGCTTTCTGTATGAAACCTTGGGTGTACATTAATCACTCTACATAATAGTGAGGCAGATCACACTTCAAATTGTATGGATGGGCGGACGGTGAGACGGAAGGACACAAACAAGTTTAGAATTGCTAAATTAATCTTAGTAAGAATTGTGTAACCGGATTTGCGTGTATGTCATGTCATTCATGAAAATAAACGAATTATTTGAGTTTTTGGTTACGAAACGAATATGTTAAACGAAGGCACTTAATGGGTACCATTAAATACATTAAACTGGTATACAACTGTACTATCCTATTGGATTATAATATCCGCCACTGCAAACAAACATAGGTAACATCTGCAAATGACATTTTAATTTTCTTTTTCCACCGCAGTTTCTATGCTGCGTGGCAAGAGGTAGGTGCAGGAAGACATTTTTAATTGTAAAAAGATGTTTGTTTATACGTAGATTTGTACAGAATAGAAAATGTTTAACCAACATTTTAGTCATATTTTTTAGCTATGCAATCTTTTTGTTTTCTAACACAATTTTACTTTATTATGCTTAGATCAAATCAGAAAAACGTTTGAGGTTGATATACTTCCATATCACAGGTAATGTTATTTTATTGATTTAACTAGCCATACCGCCAGGCCTTTCACTGGCATTTGAGGTCAAAGTTATTTGTAAACAGCCCTGACCTCCGTGCTTATTAATCATCACACTATACCCTGCGCTACCTGAAGTTTGGGACTTTATAAAATTTTGAAGCTTAGGATTAGTTAATGTACAAAAACATGTTAGTTTGATCGTTATGGTGAAAACACAATTTTACCTGATGTCGGGACTTTTCATAATTTGAAAAATGGCTGCTTTAATGTATATCTTTATTAACAAAATAAATATACTTCTTAAATAACCACTTTCAAAAGAACGCTAGAAGAGCAACTTATGTTTCTCAAAAATTAGTCTTAACAGGTATTCAAATGGCCTATTAAAATATCACCAGAGCTAACTTCTTAACAAATATCAACTTTTTGTCGCATCTGCAAGTGGTCGATCTAGTTCAATCACTTGAACAATGTATAATGTATTAAAGCTGCGGTCACTCTAAGGCAGTTTCCGGTAACTCTAAACTGGATTAATGAGACGACTATAATGTTCTAGCTAAAAAGAGAGTAAACAGAAATTTGTGTCAAGAATAATAACCCTGCAACTTACCTGTAAGTAATCGATCTAGTATAGTAGGTGTAAGTAACAAACCAAACAAACATCACCCGCTTTGTTTTTACAGATATAAATTAAAAATACGAAAATTAAACTAAATAATCTTACAACATTGTGACGTCGTGGTTGAATGGCAGATTTTACAACTACTAATTCGATGTTTGAGTTTTGATTCATAGTACTGACCACACTTTATGACCAGGTAATTGAACTGAAGAACTCTACTTCATCTTCCCCTGTGTGTTGGGCACAAACGGGAAATGATGATAAGGATCTTATAATATAGGATTTGAATAATTAAATTCAATCTGTTAATGTGTACATTCGTATTAATACAAGCGAGTAAAATGTATTTACTAAATGTAACTAGACTACCCGTCATCCCTTGGATAACTGTGGGTTTCGGGGATCATCCATAAAAAAAACAACACGTCTGTCACTTATCGTCACAAAAAACCAGACCCCACACTCAAAAAGACGTCACACCTCAAACTTTTTTTGTCTTTTAAAAACACTGATTTCGGCTGAACACACTGTTCACGTCATATGCTAAGGACAAAGAAACAGGTGAACTCTACTTCACCTGCCCTGTATCCCTCAGAGTTCCGATAGGCAACTATCATTCACATCTAAAAAAAATGAAAAAAATGTAACATTCACATGATGTGTCTAGAACCCGTGCCCCCCCCCCTCCGCCCCCGCATGGTAGCATATATTACACTATCACCTAAGCTATCTGGGATCGTCACTATAACGTTTTTTGTACTCCATATAAATAGTTTTGAGTCTGCTTAACAAACTTGATTTACGCGAATAGGCCCTAGATCTAGTATTATCTCAAATTAAATTGTATCTTAAAATAGCCCATCCATAGCTAAGCAAACACAGATTGATATAAATTAATGAAGCTCTGAAATATTTTAGTATAGACACTCAATATCATATACGTCTAGATCAGGGGTCTCCAAACTACGGCCCGCGGGCCAGATGCGGCCCGCGAGGCCCTCTCATCCGGCCCGCGGAGATCATTTTGTTCACGGAAAAAACCGTTTGTTGGTGATGGCTGAGGAACTTTGCCAAGAAAAGTCAAAGACACGCCTGGAAGAAACTGGATAGTTAATTCGGCCCTCGGACTGAAAAGTTTGGAGACCCCTGGTCTAGATAGTAAGAGTTATCTAGATTCTACGACTGGTTTGGTTAAGTCGATTTTTCTCGTAGATAGATAAATCACTTGTATTCTTGAATTACATGATTCGGGAAGTTAAAAAACAAAGATTTATATCAAACTAGCGTACCCGACCCCCGCGCGTTGCCGCGGGGATAGAAGAAAGTTTGACGAAATATATTAGGATTTCACCAACGCGTTATCAATCATAATTGTTTGTTCTTAGACGCGTGACCTTCTTTTATAAAAATGAGTTATTTAAATGTAAACAATGCCTGTTCTTGGATCATAAATATTAGGACACTGGTTTACCTACACTACCGCCTGAAAACATTGCGTGTACATTAATCACTCACCGAAATAATATGGTAGAACACACTTCGGTGACCGCCAGTGTGTCAGAGACGTAGAGGGGCGCTCTCAGGGCCCCCACCCCCCGATTACACTACCGCATAGGCGCGGCGTACAACCCCTGGCTCCTTAAAACTAACAGGCGCCATCGGCCTAATAGCATCCTGTTAATAATGATGCAGATTTCGTCATTCGCTAAAGTGACACAAATGAACAGGATTTTTTTCTTTAACACGTAAAAAAAGTATTTGACGTGTTTTAAACATCAGTGTGACTGATCAGTATGCTAGCGTTACTAATGGTCTATTATTAGATGCTCGATCTCAATTTCTGACTGGATTGTCTATTAATAGATGCTTATTGCATCATTCGCAAAGTGACGAAACTCAACATTAGGCTCCTCATATTCAAAAAGTTATTTTTTCATCTTTCGCAAGGTGACGAAACTGTACAGAAAGATTTCCTCGCGTTACAAAGTTATTTTTAGAAGCCTGTTGTAGTTTTACCGCTGAATATAGTAGTACCCCTTACTCGCTATGCAGGGCGCTCGATTAACGGATGCCAAGTGCCAACATAGTCGCTCTAAAACTCTGGGGGCCAAACCGTGTATTGACAAAAGTTGTACCCTACATGGCGTCGCCCATAAGAAACTTTAGTTTTTTTTTTCGCCGAAATATTCTCGGGAGTATTCTCGACTATTCTCTAAAGTTTCATGGCACTCGGATGATATTTTTTATATACCGTGTATAGGGGGGGAACAAGCTCCCCCCCCCCCCCCCGGGGGCGCCACCCTTGCAATATTAAAAAACATTTTTTGCAGAACTCTACCATTGAGTGATCTAATCATCTCCCCAAAGTTTTATGATACAGGGATGAACGGTGTGAAACCGAAATAGACTTTTTTTTAATATACCGTATATAGAGAAAAATCGCAGCCTCCCGTGGCGCCGCCCTTGCGAAATTAAAAAAGGATTTTTTTTTACAGAACCCTTCCCTGAATTGTTCTAATGAACTCCCCAAAGTTTGATGGCGATCAGATAAATGGTGTCAAACGAAAAGCAATTTTTATTTTTATATACCGTATATAGAGAAAATCGCACCTTCCTGTGGCGCCGCCCTTGCAACATAAAAATGATTTTTTACAGAACCCTTCCTGAAGTGTTCTAATCAAGTCCCTGAAGTTTGATGGCTACCGCAATCAACTTTTCTTTTTATATAACATATAGAGAAAGAAAAAAAAACGCGCCCTGCCAGGGCGCCACCCCTGAGAATTTGAAAATGTTTTTAGAGCAGAAACCTCCCCAGGAATATTCTGAACATTTTCCCAAAGTTTCATGGCGATCGTGTGAACGGTGTCACGGCAATTCACTTTTATTATTTTTATATACCGTATATTGAGAAAAAACGCACCCTGACGTGGCGCCGCCCTTGCGAAATTAAAATGACTTTTTTTTTACAGAACCCTTCTCCAGAGTGTCCCCCCCCCCCCCCAAAGTCTCAAAGCTATCGGATAACGGTGTCACACCAAAATCGACTTTTATTTTTATATACCGTATATAGAGAAAAATCGCACCCTCCTGTGGCGCAGCCCTTGCGAAATTAAAAATGATTTTTACAGAACCCTTCCCTAGAGTTCTATAATGAACTCCTTAAAGTTTCATGCCTATCGGATGGACGGTGTTACTGCAATTCACTTTTATTATTTTTATATACCGTATAAAGAGAAAACCAAATCGCGCCCTGTCGGGGCGCCGGCCCTGCGAATTTGAAAATGTTTTTAGCGCAGAAACCTCCCCAGAAGTAAATTCAACTTCTTCCCAAAGTTTCATGCCTATCGGATGAACGGTGTCACTGCAATTCACTTTTATTATTTTTATATACCATATATAGAGGAAAATCGCACCCTCCCGTGGCGCCGCCCTTGTGAAATTAAAAATGATTTTTTACAGAACCCTTCCCCAAAGTGTTCTAATCAAGTCCCTAAAGTTTGATGGCTATCAGATGAACGTTGTGAGACCGAAATCGACTTTTAATTTTATATATCGTACATCGAGAAAAAACAAATCGCGCCCTGCCGGGGCGCCAGCCCTGCGAATTTGAAAATTAGTTTTAGCGCAGAAACCTCCCCAGGAATAAATTCAACTTCTTCCCAAAGTTTCATACTGATCGTGTGAACGGTATCACTGCATTTCACTTTTATTATTTTTATATACCATATGTAGAGGAAAATCGCACTCTCCCGTGGCGCCGCCCTTGCGAAATTAAAAATTATTTTTTTACAGAACCCTTCCCTAGAGTGTTATAATGAACTCCCCAAAGTCTCATGGCTATCGGATGAACGATGTCAACCCAAACTTGACTTTTTTTTTTAATATACCGTATAAAGAGAAAAACAAATCGCGCCCTGCCGGGGCGCCACCCCTGAGAATTTGAATTTTTTTTTTCGCAGAAACCTCCCCAGGAGTATTCTCAACAACTTCCCAAAGTTTCACGGCGATGTGATGAGAGGTGTAGTAATGCATAAAGGACACACACACACACACACACACAGACACACATACATCGCTTTATATATATATTTGAAGATAGATAGGTATTTAAGGACTTAAATCGTTAAATAAAGAAACTCAATGATTTATTCTGATTTTAAAATGCTTTTTAATTTCAACTAATTAATTTTGGTTTGACCTAGATTGTAGATATATAAATAACTGCATTCGACAGCTGATCTTTAGATTCTAGATCTAGAGAAATGTATTGTATTCTTAAATTAAACGGACTGTTGAAAAGTGATGGAACGTAATAAAATAGCAAACCGACGTATCGTTAAAGCGATAGCCGACATAAACTTAGCTATATAATGCGTTATACTTTTGAAATAGATCCAAAATCCTGTATGGAAGTCGCCATCATTGTTGTAAAAAGTAAATAAATCATGTGACTTCACCATTCACTATAAGTAACCTAATTGTTCTGAACTTTTATGTGGTTAATCTACCAATGAATAAATCAATATATTAAATAACGTCTTTACATAAATTTGTGATTAACAGTCTGTTTAAAAAAAGAAAACTGTCCTCTACTTAAAATACTATTGCACTGCTCTACACATAGTGCAGATTCTCTCTTTTAACCAAACGGACAAACAAAAAAAAAACTAAACAAAAAACTCAAACATGTAAAAAAAAACGTTTTTTGTAGTATATAGATATATTTTCAGATGCCATTAATTATATTTTCAGGTTAAGGCATCTGAAATATTTAATGACGAGACCAGGGCACATCCTTAACATGTGCAAGCACCTTAGTGTGTTTGTTTTTCTACTGGCAAGCATCACGAATGTATATTGTGGAGACGCACTGCAAACTACACATCAAGACAACAGCACACTTCAACACCAATCAAAACGAAACGTTGGCACAACAAAGGTCAATATTTAAAATTAATTTAATTTTTAAAAAGTACTTTTTTATTATGACCATGTCTACATAAGCTGCTAATAATTACAATTGAAATATATACTGAATTTATTTTCATAAAAGACTACTAATATCTCTTAACCAGACAGCTTATGTAATGAGCAAGAGGTTTAGGAATATGCAGGTGGTTTAATATTAGTTACTAATTTACTTTTTACATTGGGAAAAATGCCACAGCATTAAAAAAGATAAATGTAAGAGAGTAATGACGCATCTATGACTACATGTGACAAAATGTTTGCGTTCGATATTTCTTCTTTGAAAATTATAAACACGTTTGAATGTTTAATAGTCATGAGGATATTACGACATAACCATGCCCCTCTGTTACATATTTTCAATACTCTTCTGACATGAACTTTATTAATTGAAGATGAAATAATTATACATAATACTTAACGTGTAATTTCAATTATATTTTTTTCTGAATTAAATGGTAATTATATGTTCTTTAGAGAGAAGAAAACAAGAAAAAAAAAGTAAAAAAAAAAAGAAAAATCGAAATATTTTTTTCAGTGGGTTGGCTGAAATAAATGTTTGATAAAAGTAGAATATTATTATAAATATTCTAAAGCAGCCTGGATGATACAAATAAATCAATAATTCCTCCATTTTAAAACAGCTATATTCCTAACAGCCATCCTACTTATTCATCAGTGGCGGAACTAGAAAAAATGGGCCACCCCGCAAAAATTCCCCCCCCCATATATATATATATATATATATATATATATATATATATATATATATATATATATATATATATATATATATATATATATATATATATATATATATATATATATATATATATATATATATATATATATATATATATATATATATATCCAATACGAAGATAGGATACTAATTTCTGGCCTCACAACAACATGTCATGTGTGTGAGTGCATTGGTCTGTTTTGAAAATCTGTTTTATTTTATGTTTGACTTTCTACTTCTAATATTTAAGTTGGTCAAAAGTATATCAATCATGAAGCTTTGTATAAGTAATGGTGTCTCGTGTTATGTTTATTTTTACGTTTTTTTTTGTATTTATATTATTAATTTTAACTACATTTCATTTTTATACTATTCCATTCTTTAGTAGTTATTTTAATGAAAATAATAATTAAGATAAGTAATTGCTGTTTAATTTGATTAGTACAAATCTATTAAAAGGAGCTACTGAGCAGTCCTATTTGACTATTTAAAAAGGTAAATAATTTATGGAAGTGGTTTGAACTTTTGCCTATCTTTCACACTACATCTCATGTTTGTTATTTACAAAACCACTATCAATTATCTAGGAGAACGAACACCTAGGAATGATGTGACTCAAACTAGGCGTAACTGACAACTATTTAATCTGTGTACAAGTATAAATAAATGACACAAGGTCAAACCAAAATATAATTCAAACTAAGAGCAATAGTAAAACAAAAATTCAACTTACAGATATCTCAAAGTTACTTAAATAAATCTAACAACTAGATGACAATCTATCACCGATGTGACATTGGTGAAATAATACACCTAGGAAAAATATCAGAAACACTGAAATGGCCACAAAACACCTTATAATAACGAAATAAAATATGCCGCCACAAACTAAACAACTCAAAATGGCGACACACCGGGAACTAGGGTCACAAGCTGCCAGGAGACTTGCCGTGCACGGGTTTATATGCAAGATAAAAACTAAGGGAGGTTAATTTAATGTCGTAAGACCATTGGTCGAGGATTTGCTAAGGATCTTCAATGTCGTAAGACCATTGATCGAGGATCTGCTAAGGATCGGAACAACCAATTAAAATCCAATCACATGAAGTGACGGAGTTCAGGTGACCGAGGAGTTCAGGTGACCGTACAACTCTCTCAAGGTTGATTACATAACTTAAGAAACTAAATTATATAAAGAAAGAAAAGACCTAAGTAGGTCACACATGTATTAATAAACAACAGTGTTACAAACGCATTTCACATACAGAAATCAGTTAGACAAGGTTTCCTTTATCTCCATTAGCCTAGAACCCTTACTAGATAACATTAGACATGACAACTCGATTAAAGGACTGTACATTCCATACACCGTAGGCAAGAAAATTCTTGCATACGCAGACGACAATACTTTCTTAGTACAAACAGAAAAAGCTATACAGACTGTAATAGAACAAATTCAACAACTTTGGGAAAGGAAGATGGTGGAAAAATAAACGCAGAAAAATCAAAAGTAATGGGTATAGGTAAATAGAAATGTAAAGATAATTATAACATAGACATCACAATAACAGACTTTATGGAATAGCTTATACAAGCAATCCTACAAAAAACGACAAAGAAACTTGGGCCACACTGAATAATAAAATAAATCAAAATCTGGAAAAATACCAATACTGCAATGCAACCATCTTTGCCAGAGCAGCATTACTAAACAGAAATATCATTCCAAATTACTTTCGTAGCGACGAACTCTACAATACCCAACTCGTTTATTAAACAAACAAACTAGCACATTAAAGAGTCCATTTTCAAAAACCCGATTAGAAACATTAGCCACAAAACCTTAAACCAAAACAAATTAAATGGAGTTATAGGGCTACATCACATTCAAACTAAAATAAACACCTTCAGATTAAAACAATACATTACCATCCATTAGCACAAAATTTCATAGGGTTAAAGATGAGGAGCATGCTATAGACAGCTTTTGTAAAAAAAAAACGATAGCAACATTCCAAAGAAACAAAAGCATTATTAATACAAAAAAATATATACGACACCTTAATCAAACAACAAGCGACATCCTTATACACCAGATTTAGTTGGGCCAGGGAACACAATATAATAGACATTTAGAAACCTACATAATAAACGCATTACACCAAAAGAAAGGTAAGTAGCATACAGACTGATTTTTAACACAACGCCAGTTTCACGAAATAAAAAGTCAAATCAAAATGTAAAAATAACATGTCAAACGTGTAAACAAAATATACAAGAAACTGAGAAACACAGTTATTGAGATTGTTTATTAATACAGAGAGCAAATCAACCACTTGCGAAAATATTAAACAGCCATAACAAATAAAGCAATCACGCTTTATTTAATTAACACGACCAGACAAAGAACTGAAGACGAAAACAGACTAGTAGCAACGGCTATTTATAGATTAATATTAAAATACCACCAATCAAACAGCCACAACAAATAAAGCAATCACACTTAATTAACACGACTAGACAAAGAACTGAAAACGAAAACAGACTAGTGGCAACTGCTATTTATAGATCGACTGTAAGGTAAAATAGTTTTACATTCAGATTTTATTTTAAAAACTACACCGACATCGAGTTAAATGAAATATTTCAAGCAAAGCTAAGACATAGACTGGAAACTCTCACTTCACATAAAAAAATGAATATAAATAAATAAAGTATCCATTTTAATTAAGACAGTCTCAAGCCAAACATCACTAAATCAGCCATCGAGTAAATTACCGTTAGAACAGTCTTATGCTTCTAAGGTTTAAAAGGGCACAATCTGAATGGTAGAAAGAGATACACACCTCACCCCCCCCCACACACACACTTCCCCCAACCAAACTGGCGGATAAATCAAGGGCAGCGCACTCTCATCGCCAGGGGTCAATTTTGTGTCATGGAAAATTTTGGAATGATAGATCAGTATGAGTATTATAGAGACCCTTCTCCCACGGTCATATCTATTTCTGTCCATGGGTGTCTACAATGTGACATTTTTAATTACTTAAGCTTTTTATAATAGAATAGAATCTCGTAGAAAAATGAATTACACACCAAGTGAACGCCAAACAAAAGGTGCATAATTGTGCGTGATATTATCAGTACTTTATAATTTCACATGCGTTTTTTGAGAAATCGGAAATAGCGTAAATTACTACTTCCGGTCAACGGAAATTACTCGAAATTTGTTAGAAGGCAGAGAATTATATCTTTTACTTATATGTGAATTTTTAGTAATCCATCTAAAATAGAACTCAAGTTATAGGCTTTTTGATGAATTCAAAGAAGAAAAAGTTCAACTTTCTTTTATCAGAAATCGCTCAAAAGTTGATACGTATCTTACGATTTTGATATAATACTTATGTAACCCTCACTCAGTGGGGATGCTTTTACCCACTGAGGTGTTGTGGTTTAAGATGGGCTGACCCTGAGATTAAGTACACACCGACGCCGACAGTTGTTGTCCAGTACTCGTTTATTTACAGCATCGAGCCATGACGGCGATGCAACACAAAACGAACTAGCCAAGATAAACCAAAAGATCCAAACAATCCAAAAGACCAAAAGATCAAAAGATCAAAAGATCAAAATAGAAACAGAAAACTGTAGCCCTAAAACAAATGTAAAATAAAAAAGTTACATTCAGGACAACACCACGTGTAAGCTACAATATACACGGGTACAATAAATTATGTTTTCGGCCAGTACACAGTACTGCCAACAAGTACCAATAAGTAGTACTACAAAATAAATACTTAATTTAATACATCACCCTAACTAGTGTGCACATGCAGCACTAGCAGGAATACATAAGTATTTAAACAAACATAATTTATATATCTACACTACCTTCATTAGGTCTACATCTTGGTCCACAGACAGCAGCCTTGCGTGTGCGACACGACTAGGCACATGTCACATGACATGGAACACAGGTAATTTCGCTCACAAAAGCATAAAAAAACGTCAACAGTTCAGTTGCAGTCCCACAGGGGCCGCAACCCAATGAATAAAAACTTCATAGTTTTATCCCCCTTTTGGCTGGTAACCATATGTGTTACACAGCCCCCCTCACAAATAAATGTACAATGGAATTCACATTTACATTTACAACTCATACTTAATAGTACTAAAAAAAAAGTTCAGTACACAAGTACACAGACATTAAGTCCTTTCAACTTAAATAG